AGGATATGCATAAGTATGGTTTTCTTTGTATTTTTTGTTTGGGGTTCAGTGAGCTTCTTGAGGCTCTGATTGATATCTTTTGGCAGTTATGGAAACTTCTCAGCCATTACCCCTTCAAATACTGTGTCTGCTCCATCTCTCTCTTCTAGAACTCCAGTGACACATACTTTGAATTTTTTGACAATTTCCATGTCTCTCATGCTTTCTTCTGTTCTCTCCTTTTTTTTTTTTTTAAGATTTTATTTATTTATTTGACAGAGAGATCACAAGTAGGAAGAGCTGCAAGCAAAGAGAGAGTGGGAAGCAGGCTCCCTGTTAAGCAGACAGCCTGATGCAGGGCTCAATCCCAAATCCCTGAAATAATGACCTGAGCCCAAGGCAGAGGCTTAACCCACTGGGCCACCTAGGCACCCTGTTCTCTCCTTTCTTTCCCTCGCTTTATGCCTCACTAATCCTGCTACACTGTGTCCTGTCTGCTCTTCTTGGGCCAGCCAGATCCTTAGCCCCCACCCAAAATCAGCAAGTACCTCCCACCCCCAACCTCCTTGAAGAAAAGACCTTGTGTTACTCAGTATACGTAGGAAGGGTCCTTCCTTCTCTGGAAATTATTTATGTGGTTCTCATTGCTTTCACCAGTCTCTGGTTTTTCTTTTTTCTTTTCTTTGCTCTTTTTCTTTTTCTTTCTTTCTTTTTTTTTTAAATTAGGCTCCACACCCGGCATGGAACCCAACACAGGACTTAAATTTATGACCCTGAGATCAAGACCTGAGCTGAGATCAAGAGTCACACGCTTAACTGACTAAGCCACCTAGGCACCCCTCTGATTTCTTTAAAAATACAATTTTTGCAATTTATTTGCTTTTCCCCCTAGTTGTTTCAGTGGAATGTTGACCTGTCACAACATAAAACACTGTACTCTGAAGTAAAAGGTTTCCATTTATTATATAGATAATTACAGATTATTATATAGATTATAAAACTGAGATCCAGAGAAAGGTTAAGCTACTGCTTTCAAACCAGGTTTGGCTAACCACTATTTTCCTAGAACCTCCTTAGATGTCATGGTAAGGCAAGGTGGGGGGGCTTTACTTGATTTGTTCTGAACATCTTCCCAATCAGTGCCAATCTTATGAACTCGACATTATAATTTTAATTACCTTTTTTATTTTATCATAGTCTAGGAATATGTATATTATATATATGTAATATATATTATATATAAAATATATTTTATAAGTATATATAAAATATATTTTATATATGTATATATATAAATATTTTACCAGCCTGGGGCAACAGGACTTTCTCAAAGACATAATCTCTTTCTCTTTCTCTCAGACAGTTTCAGGTATGATGCAACTGATGGGGATTAATAAGGCAGCTGGTGGTGAGAGCAACATTCAGGTTCTTCCTCATGATTCCCTCTGTCCATGGGAGAGGAAACTCATCTGCCTCCTGGCCTTTCACTCTCATCCAAGTTCACTCTGATGGAAAGACTTCCTCATCTTGCTGTACGTTTACCAAGCCTCATTATACTAGTTAATGGGATTCTAGTGCTTTACACACAAAACCTAGACTCTAAATGGTTTCTCTCTTCCCCTGAATCCACGTAGTAAAGTTCCCTGGAGTCTCTGTCTCCACCTGTTGGGGGTGGGAATGGAGGATGGGGAGGAAGCCATGATTCCTAGCAGGAGCAGAAAGCCTTAAGTCTCTAAACATTTTCAACATTTCAACTCTCTTGACATTTTCAGCTCAACTTTGTTTCCCACTTGCCTACTATTGCTTGTCCCTGTATTCTCTTAGTCTACACCCAAGAAGGGAAGAGGAGTGGGTAGTAGGGTTTAAGTATCAAAACTCTGAACCTTCCAACACATGCTGTGTACTGAAAAGACCTGTGTGTCTTGTCACACCGTCTAACACTGGTCCTTTGCTTGTAACTTCAAAAACCTGTGGCCCTTTGGACATTTTTTTCTCTTGGACTTGCAACTTCCTGGCACAGTTGTGCAGGTGTTAGCTTCTGGGTGGCTGGATGTCAGACTTTTCTCTTCAGTGTTCACATTTCTCCAGAAGCCATACTGACATGGACACTGATATGGTGTTTCCCAGTACCTCTGGAAGGCTTCTTCCTTTTCTCGCTCTCTCTGTGGGCATTCCACTTCAGCTCATCCTAAAATACCCAATCTGTCTGATTTTCTATCATATACTATGTTTTTGTTGTTGTTGTTTTAAGATTTTATTTATTTATTTGACAGAGAGAGATCACAAGTAGGCAGAGAGGCAGGCAGAGAGAGAGGGGAAGCTGGCTCCCCGCTGAGCAGAGAGCCTGATGCGGGGCTCGATCCCAGGACCCTGGGATCATGACCTGAGCCGAAGGCAGAGGCTTAACCCACTGAGCCACCCAGGTATCCCTCATATACTATGTTTTTTAAGGAAAGAGGCTATAAATATGCCAAGTACTGCTTCTTTGCCAAGCAGTATAAAGAGCAAAATACTGTTGTCATCCTTAGAACTTTCAATTGTTGAGATAAACAGGGAATTTAGGATTACCCTATCTTTCTCTCAAACTCCATTCAAAGACCGCCTGCTGTGAAGCCAATAGAGTCTTCATTCTGGTACTTTTTCTCAATTTTCTCCATTCCATTGTATTCAGTAAATGTCCTCATCTACTGACAGGCTTACTTTTTTAAAAAAATGATTGGTTTCTGCCAAAGTGATTTTTAAAATTTTGTCCTGCTGACTGAAAAGTTCTATCAGTCTCCCAAGCTAAACAGGGATCTGTGCTTCTGGAAAGGAAGGGCATGTGGCTAAGGTGTTTAATTTTCTGAGTTGTTTCGATTCACTCAAAGGATAGATCTAATCTCTGCAGTTTATTTTTAGAAATGAAATAAATTTCAGCTCAAAGGAGCTTTTAAATAAAAGCACCATAATTATATTTACTCCAAGACCTGAAGATTTTTTTTTCATCTTTTTTTCTTTTTTAACTTTTTAAAAGACCTTTAATGCACTGGTGTTTTAACGAATTCCCATATTTGAGCATTGTCTAAGCTTTTTTCAGAAGAAAAACAAAGAAACACATCCATAATATTTTAAGGTCTCCCACCCAAATTTTCCAAGAAACCTGGGTACTTATTTATTTCAAAGGAGTCAATCCTGCTTGTAAATGAAGAAGGAAAAAGAACTGGATGTCTACCATGTTCAGTTGCCATTGTTTTGCTGTTACCACTTAATCTAATGAGTTTTTATTCATGGCTGTCCCCTTCACTGGTTAGGCAGAGTAACACACTCATGAGTTACTAAGTTATGGCTGTGTTTAGCTTACGTGCCTGAGCCTAGCCATTTCATCTCCTTTCGATAGAAGTTTAATTCATGCCATTGTTATCCTGAGTAATAATGGAGGGAAAAGAACAGCTTTGCCAAAAGATATACATCCAGACCTCCTTGCAGTGTTTAAGGAAACATAGTGCTCATTTGGTAAAAACACTTTTGCTGCTTTAAACCTGCCTCTTTCCTTAATCCCAACAATTTCTGAAGAAATAACAGCTGGGAGAAGTGAGGCCATGACGTCACGGGCTGTGCCTTCTCCAGGTCTGGTCACAGTGGGTTCTGCACGATCTGGGGGTGAGAACTCCTGAGCAAGCCTCCGAGAGCTTCACCCCGACTGCTCAATTCTGCTTGAGGGATTTACACAAACCATGAAGGCTTTCAGCTCTTGCTCTACAGTTTGGTGCACTCTGCAAAATGTCAGTGAGCTCTTCTGCTATGGACACCCCCGTGCCCCTCCCACCCCCAGTTCATATGTTGAAGCCCTAACTTCCAATGTGATGGTATAGGGAGATGGCACCTTTGGAAGGAAACTGGGGCTAGATGGGGTCATGGGAAGGCGGGGGGGTCCTCACGATGGGCTTTTTGACCTTGTAAGAAGAGACCAAAGAGGTCTCACTCTCTCTTTCTCTCTGCCATGTGAACAGCTAGAAGGCAGCCATCTGCCACCCAAGGAGAGAGCTCCCTCCAGACACCAGCCCTGCCGGCAGCTTCCCCACGGACTTGGAGCCTCCAGAACTGAGAGGAATAAATGTCTGTTGCTCCAGCCGCCCAGTCTGTGGTATTTTGTAATGGCAGCACAAGCTAAGACATTATTCCTTGCTCTTTTGGAGAGTTTTTAAAGAGTGAAAGTTAAAAAAAAAAAACAACAATGACTAACTGTTTCAGAAGAAGCTTTTACCAAATTAGAAGTGAAAAAGGAAAAAGGGCTTTGAATGGCTAGAATGAAGGGCTATGGCTAGAATGAAGCAGAGGCCAAATGACACGCACCTCGCACCTCACCAGGCACCACAGAGGAGAACACGACAGGCCAGCACCTGCCCTCACGGCGCCCTGTGCAGGCTCACTGCTTCTAGAGGCCACCAAGCAAGTCATTTCCATGGAACGTGTTAAGTGCTGAGATTATGGGTATATTCCGGATATTACGAGAATAAGCTCTCCATTGAGATGATGCCCATGTTAATCTTGAACAAATAAGAACTACCCAGTGAGGAAGCTGGGGAAGGGATTTCTAGGTACAAGGAACAAGACCAACAAGTCAGCAAAGTCGAAGCCACTGGGTCTCAACTGGGGAGCACCACATGCAAGGTGAGTGGCAGCCCATCGTTAAAGCTGAGAGAAAACTGGGAAATGGAAAACGAAACAATAGCTGGGAACCCCTTTTTCCTAGCAAGGTACTGAGAAAAGTCCCATAAGGATTCTATCCCTTAAGGACGGTGGGTAGCTGGTTCCAGGATAACTGGGCACACGGTGTGATCAGACGCCAGAGGTGGGCCTACCCTCGGATTCACAAGAGCCCAGGCCAATCTCGTGAGCATCTGCTCTCATGCCCGTGTCTGTGGGAGAGCCAGGCCAGCAGTGTCCTCGGGGTCCTGGGGGTTCCAGACTCCCTGACGGACCTCAGGCGGGCCAGTTCCCCTCTCTGGATTTGAGCACCCCCCCCATAAGAAACAAAGAAATCATCTACAAAGTATTTCTCAGGGATTAAATTTTAGTCTCTCACTTAAAAAATTTTTTTAAAGGGGATGGGAGATTTTATTCATTCCCTGACTTATTTCAGTGAGAATTTTCAAGAAGCTTAAAAAGACAGTGGTTACAGACAAAACACAGGGATTACAAGGAGATGAGAGGAAATGTACACGTGTGTATCCGCCTTCATTTCTCCCGGGTACTTGCCCGGAGTGGGACCTCGTTTAGCTGTAGTGTTTTCTAAGCCAGAAATGCTATTCTTTGTCCTCGCCAACACTAGGTATTGTCAGTCTCTACAGTTTTGGCAGCTCTGGTGCATGTGTGGTTCCACATCAGATTTGATACCACTTCTGTCTCAATGCCCCATTTCCTTACCACTAACCTAGTCCAGGCTGAAAGCTGCCGTTTCCCTCTTGAACACCCAGTCAACAATCTTTATTTCATGCCATGGCTGATATCTTTCTTTCTTTCTTTTCATTTTTCTTTCTTCTTTATATTTTTTAATCAACACCTGTGTAGAAATTCCATGGTAACTTAGATTCTCTGAATTCTTTGAAAAATTGAAAAAAGCACTTCGAAACCTAGGGTGTCACTTGGATCTGGTCATTTTAGATCTCTCTTGACAATAGAGTAGCAAAATGGAACTAACTGGAAGCGAAGGCTCTCAACCTATATCAGCAGCTCTGAAATTGTAGCTGAACCCACAATGCAAACAACACATCCAACATTTCTCGATCTGTGAAGGAAAAGCTCATTCTTTTCAAGTAATACTATACTAGCCACGGTAAAATACTCAACACACATTATTTCATACAATCCCTGCAACATCTACATGATTCCCATTTTACAGAGAAGAAAACTGATACATATGGAAGTGAAATAATCTTTCCAAGGTGACACTGCTAGAGGGGAATTCTGATCCACAGCTGGGCTACCTGTCTGTCCTCACTACTGTCTCCTCACTCTACAAATCTCTGCTGAATGTAACATGTTCCAACAGAGCAACTTGAAAAAAACTGTCAGGAAAAACAAAAACCCCCTAAGAAGCATGAGTATGGAAACCGAAGTAGGCCTTACATAATCCATAAAGCAAACAGTCAACTGCCCGAGTACAAGTTGAGGAAAAGAAGAATAACCATTACTGACCTCACAGAAGATACACCAGGACTTATGGAGATCCGAGTAGCTCACGCAGCTGTAGCTCAACCCCAATACCAGGTGGGGGGCGGGAAATACTTTCATGAAGAAGTATTTACTGATCACAGACTATGGTCTCAGCTGTGGGGGATACAAGAAGACACCTAGTCTCACAGTTCCCTGGAGTGAACTCCTTTTCTAACTTCTCGAGCATTCTAGCCATCCATGAAAGATAAAACCGAGGGGCCTATGGGTGGCTCAGTCGGTGAGGCGTCTGCCTTCGGCTTGGGTCATGATCTCAGAGTCCTGGGATTGAGCCCCACATCAGGCTCCCTGCTCAGTGGGGAGTCTGCTTCTCCCTCTCCCACTCCCCCTGCTCGTGCTCTGGCTCTCTCTCTCTCTCTCAAATAAATAAAATCTTTAAAAAAAAGAGACAAAACCAATAAAGCCTACTCTAATGAAAGGTGACACCCTCCTTCCCAAATCCTAACCTTTTAAGGGCATACAGACAGACGAGGCTCTGAATGTCATAAACACTTGGCAATTTGGGACAGTAGTGTCAATGATGCTCACAGTACAATTTGTAAGGTGAGGGTTTGTAAGAACGCAGGGCCCAACGTCATGAGAACACTCTTACTCTCACCTGAAGAAAAACATTTGTTTTCCCAGGTGAAAATCCCTTGCGGGGGAGAAAGGGCAATGCAGGGATAACAACCGGTGATTGGATCCTTGCAACCAAAGTGCTCTAACTCCAAGAAGACAAATGGAACAAAGTGTGAAAAAAAGAGTAAAATTGTGTTTCTTCTTTTGAGGGGATGGGGTAATCACCATACAGAAGATGAATTGAGATCTGAAAACAGTGGCCCCTAATTTCATTTTCACTAAAAAAGATAAGAGGCACTTTCCCAGTGACCAAATCCTTTGCAGTTCAACACCTGCGTCTGGGAACACATCGACCCTTGAGCATCACTCCCGCCTATTTATGCGGAGCTTGGCACGTCAGCAGGTGTCGAGGCTATAACCTTGAGTAAGATGTCCCTGTCTACCCTGGGCTCGCAGGCTGACACCCAGGTGGCTGGCTGGGAAGGAGAGACCCAATTATTATGATTTTTCTAATCAGGCTGATCCTTGCCCGTATTTTTCTTCTTCTGACATGGAGGTGAGAGGAAGTGGAGGGTATCTTACTTATCAACTCCTGACCAATCACCTACCACGTTCTGGGCCAAACATGGCACGCTCCTGGAAAATCCTGCAGGAAACACACAAAGCCCCAACAAGGGATAATGAATGGCCCAAGGTGAGGCAGGAAAGAAACAAGATAGAACTTCCCTTGGAGACAGGGGTGGTTGGGGGCTGCAATGGGAGCCTGCCCCCAAGCCCCCAGAAGTCACATGACGAGATGACAGACATGAGGGGTCACCAGGGAGATCCTGTTCCCCTCACCACCTCCCCCCATCAACACCCCTCAGAGAGGCACAGAAACGATAAAATGAACACACACAGGCTAACGCTTCTTGTGTCTATAAGGTACCAGGAGATTTCTTTGTTGACTGAAAAAAACTGTTCCTTGCCACCTATTTCACTGACTGGCCGGCTCTTCTAGAGTCGTCGAAACACACACAACCTGCTTGTACTTAGCTTCCTGGCCTGGCCGTACCGTCGGACCCACTTGCTTGCGTGTAAGCAAAACATCTCTAAATGTCTTTCACATCCACGGCTCATTCCTTTCCATCATGTGTCAAAACTCAGCAACCCCAGAATGAACGTCTGCTCCTTGGGATTTCCCAAGATTGGTTTCATTTGATCAGCTCTGACTATGGCCGCTCATTCTCCCTCAGTACAGGCCACTCACTTCTGCCCCCCGCCTGCCCTCTGGTTTGCTCTGGGCAAGGACCCGGTCGGGGGAGCTCTTTGCGGATGACCCTCGGCTTGGCCACAGCTTGTGGAACCTGGTTTTAGTGATAAAGAGAGAGGGTCTCTGGAGGGAAACAACAAAGACAGATGTGCACCACAAGAGCGTTACTGGGGGGGATGGGAGGTACTTGAGAGATACCTGCAGATTTCCATCATTCTCTATGTCTGATGGGGGTGCACAGACCTGCAAAGATGTGTACAAGATCAGTATACCGAGGCATTCGCTCGACACTCATTTTCGCGTTTTCTATTTTACAGTGAACGAAGCACACATCAGTGTATCCTCCGACAGGCGCCTTGTCAATGTCCCCAGCTAACTGGCCTTTGTGTTGCAAAAATCACTTTAATTTTAGTTATTTTAAATGACATATAAGCCTTGGAGCCAGGAAATTTATAGAAATTCAGGGTATTTCCTTAGTAAATGAACTGCTGCAAATTCATTCAGGTCAAAAGTTGTGAAAGCCAGCATTGTTATCATATTTTTGCAGCAGAGAACATTGTGGTGGTCAATGGCACTAAAAATAGCCCAGAAAAGAATTAGGAGTGCTTCACTGGAAACAAGAAAAGAACAAACTTATCCAAAATAGCAAAATGTACATTAGCATCACTCCCTCCCCTATGAATTATTTTGACAATAGGAAATGGAATTTAATTTTTTTTCTTTAATCCACAACTGTAATTCCCCTCCCATGTGCCCTCTGGGAAAACCTTATTCATAAACGAAGAATTCCCAGATAACTAAATTCTTCGCTGACTGTTTCCATACAGCTCAACAATAACAAGACAGCTCCCGAACTTGCCACTTCAAGTTCCTGTCGCTTCGACAGTGATGTCATGGAAAGACATCCACAAGCTGTTTTTGTTGCCTGGCTAGAGACTGTAAAGGAAATCAGGCGCTGCCCCTAGGTTTTAATTTTCCATGAGAAATTATTCTCATTGCCATAGCGGCTTAAACTGTGGAAAAGAAAAGGGATTTAATTAGGTCACAGCCGTAATTAGACTTTTGAGCGCACTCTTTCCACATAAAAGTCACTTTAGAGCAGAGCTTCATTGGGTTTAATCGTTTATTTTCATCGGACCATTCCTGAGGCGTTACAGTGCTGAATAACCACCGAAGGAGGACACAAGGAATACCAACAGCCACACGGAAAGTGACCCCTCCACGTGAGCTTTCCAAGGTTATGGGAAGACGGGGAGTCTTAGGCTGAGAAGAGAGAAGAAATTCCAATGGTGAACTGAGGGGATCATGGGGAAGCCTCCTCTCCCCCCGATTCCCTTTCTCCAAGCACAAGTGGGAGAAGACAGTGATGGGCTCTCCACGCCCAACAGACAGTGAGGATGACAAGAATGATGAGGATAATAAAAGCAAGGAAGTAATTGTGCCTACTTTGGCAGCATATACACTAAAATTAGAACAATACTGAGAAAATTAGCATGTCCCCCCACACAGAAGGATGTCATGCAAATTCATGAGGCACTCCTTACTTGGCTGTAACTATGTGAGGTGGTGGATGTTAACTGAACTTAATAGAGTGATGGTTTCACAATATGTACAAATATCAAATCATTATGTGGTGAGCCTTAAGCTAATTCAATGTTATATGTCAATTATATCTCAATAAAACTGGGGGAGGGGGGAGTAACAGTAGCAACAGAATAGGAAGGAGGAAGAGAATTAACATCCTGTTCAGCACAGGCGACCTAGTGAGAGCAAAACATGATGGGCACAGTAACTCTACTCCCAGGACTTTCTTATGGTCTGTTCTCTGTGTGTGTGTGTGTGTGTGTGTGTATATACACATGCATACCGGACATAGAACCTAAGAAGTCTTGATTCCTGAACCTGAAAGATGTATTCACTTGTTACCTCCTCAGAAGTTCAAGACAGGATTCAGAGCAAGCCTTGAAACTTCTGTACAAACACACCTAAACAATTTAAGTGAAGAGTAAAAAAAATTGTTATTTAGAAGACATAAAATTTTCATGATTTCATTTTAAAAGATACTAAGGTGCTCCTTCTTCTTTAAAAAAAAAAAAATTACACCAGAAACAGCAAGAGTTTCATCAACAGTCTTAGAGACGTTTTAAAATTCTAAACATCGAACCCCAACAGTATCTGCTGACAACGCTTTTACAAATTCATCCTCTATGTAAAACAGGCTTAATTTTATCTATTAAACTGACATAGCCAAGACTCCTTGGTTCAATATCTTGATCAAGAGAAATGTCGACATGTCATCGAAGAAAGACAGACATTAGGCCATGCTCCCAAGATCTGGCAAAACAGACAGAAAGATAGGCAGTCAAGGGGCACCTGGGTGGCTCTGCTGGTTAAGTGTCTGCCTTCGGCTCAGGTCATGATCCCAGGGTCCTGGAATCGAGTTCCGCATCAGGCTCTCTGTTCAGTGGGGAGTCTGCTGCTCCCTCTCTTTCTGCTGCTCCCCCTGCTTGTGCTCTCTCACTAATACTCTCTCTCAAATACATAAAATCTTTAAAAAAAGAAAAAGATAGGCAGTCAGAAGTCAGAAAACTTCTTACCCACTTAAAGAGACCTTCGCAAGGCTAAATCAACTGGAGACCGAAACTTACCAGCAGAATCTTCTCACCTCTTTTAAGAGCAACTCCAATGTGGGAAACACAGTTCAGGATGGTGGTCGTGTTACTACACAAGGAGGTGTTGTTTCAGAGACAGCTGTGAAGGCTCCCTGGCAATCCCACTGTATAATTAAGGCGCCATCAGTGAACAGCCAGCAGGGTGGTCTCCATGGAAACCAACAAACACACATTTTCACAGGCCTAGCAACTGTTCTGAATCAATGACTCTTTATATAGGTTTAAAAACATTGTGAATGGTGCATCAATTGCTTCTTTTGTTAGATAATGTCTGATTAAACATGTGTGAGAGACCCTGTTGTCCTGCCTGCTGAATCCCCAGTAGCGTCTACAGTGGGCTGCCCACAACTAAATTCACTTACCTAGAACTGCAGAATACAAACGACAGATTCAGACTCTAGAAATCACTGGTTAAGTTGGGGGAAGAATTAAACTAGTAGTTGACAGTGCCAGGGGACAGGACCTGCCCATGGCCAGCACTCACTTTTTTAGGGCTGTGTCAATATTATTCAGTCCTCTCAGTACAGCACACATTATTATTACATGTGCTTACAGATGAGAAAACGAAGCACTCGTCTAGAAGATGGCAGACCTGCGCCTCAAAGCTACATCAAAAGGAAGTCTTGGTCCAGGTTCGTATCACTCTACGTAATAATGCTCTGTGTTTGCACAGCACATTGTCACTCCCCAGCTACCTTCACATACATTATCTCATATATTCTGCTTTTATCTCAAAACGCTGAGTGTAGTTCTAGAATTTTCTAACTTTGCAATATATTCTTCCTTGATCTTTGTCTGCCTGCCCCACTCTGTGCCCACTACACACTCTAGGTTTCAAGACTTACATGGGACCGTGTCCCTACCGGAGCTGGGAAAGAAGCATCGTCCTAAGCAGCAATGGGAAAGGAAACCCCATTGTATAAGCATGGATTTTGACTCAAAACTCTAAATAAAAATGGGGACAAACATTCCAATTAACCATCAGTAGCATTTACACATCATCTTCCATGAGAGAGAGCAGACTTTGTGATGAGGATGGAAGGTCTGATTGCTAAGTGGTTTCCTACTTTATTTTGAATGGGTTCTATTAAGGACTAGTAAATGCTTTATTAAGAAGGCATGGATAATCAATGATCTGGCTCCTGGCACATCATCATTATATAACCCTACAATTGAATATATATGCCATCAGCATTTAGTCTTTTTTTTTTTTAAAGATTTTATTTATTTATTAGACACACAGAGA